TGCGGCTTAGTTGCATAATATGAAAAAATAAATTAGTGTGCGGATATGCCACTTCAATATACCGTGACTAAAAATGACTGCGCTTAACATGTAAGAAGGTGCAGATGTCCTTGCACCTAAGCACCATGCTACAGGGGCATACGAGGGGCACAGACGTAAACTCCCACACATTCTTAACCTTAGAGAGCTTCATACTTCAGCCCAGTGAAACAATACCCACTAGATAGCAGGTTGGAAGGGCCTTAGAGTCAGCCCGGACGTGGCGGAAAAACGTCTTACCCCTGCTGGAACTGAATCCTGTCAAACCCACTGCTAATCACTTTACTGACAAGTTAACTAGGCTCACATATTTAGCATGCACAATACAACTACTGAGAACCAGATGCTGTCTTTAGCTTGGACGATATAGTATCAAACTATGGGGGTGATTAACAAACAACAAATTTGAAAGAATATGGAAGGAAGCGGTCATTGAAATTATTTTGTTTTATATTTTCTGGCACATTATTCAGAGTGAGGAATGCTGCAAACTGTCAGCTTAAAGTGTCAAAAGAGACATCAAGACGACTTTCCTCTCTTTTCACTGATTATGCCACATGCCGAAGATATACGGGAAGAAGCGATATTTATCATCTTGTTTGCGACATGAAAAGTGAGAACAATTAATGGTAAAGTTTACTGGCCATGAAGTGGTAGAAGAGATTACACATTAAATGTAAAAAGCATGTTTTTTTTTCTTGCATGCTGCGTGTGTCCCTAGCCAATTTGTAACAATGTTTCGAAAACCTCTTCAAACAATCGGACTAGGTCAGGAATTCAGCACGATTCCCCTTCAGACCAGCCAGTTTGTATCTTTATCTCCAAATAGACCACGAAACATCAGTATTTCACTCATAGTTTCTTTTGATGCTGTCCATGCCATCAGTACTGTACACCGAGATCCACCAAATGACAGTCCTGATTCCCACACCAGATTTGAAATTTCAAACACTGAAATATTACATTATAAGGTTTCCACAGTGGGTCTGAATGGGTTAAACAGTGCATTATACTATTACTACTGCTCAACTGAATGCAATACCTGTGTCAAGACCAGATTACATGCAAGAACCTTCATCAGTCAAGTGTCGAAGCACACGCAGTCTAGCTGGCCGTGCGTTGCGATAACATACTGCTTAACCATTAAACCCAAGACTTGAAGTCAGACTGGCAGCCCCATAGCACAGTTCTAAAACCCCTATTTTTGTATTATAAAGGTTAAAGAATACGCACCACATTCAGATAAAAAACATTGTAAAGTAAATACAACTTTCTATATTGCACCACAAAATAAATACCTTCTTCAACATCCTGGGTTCTTTGAATCTCTTAAGTGAAATCTCAGAAATTATGACAATTCATATCAATATTAAAACCAAGCTCCCCAGTGCTGAGATGTGATTTCTGATAGCAAGTATTAACGTCTGAAATCACCGTCCACCTCACTGGTTCTCTGTTCATGGCTGTAGTTATCAAAAACCAATGCTTCAAAACACATTGCTCAATTATTATATTAAACATAAACAATTAATCAAACACAACACTACTACAGTCAAAAACACTGATATTTAGAAAATATTAAAAAAAATCCATAACTCATATTATTTTTCTGACTACAGCCATGGGTTTATACTACAAGTGTCTTTATAAGGATTACAAAGAGTTCTTTTGTGTTTAAAAAAATGGCTACTTCTTCTTTTCTAACTGCAGTACAACTAATTATCATATATAACATATAGCATACCTCATAAATTTACAATAAGCTGCAATTTGATTCAGTGACCAGTCTTAGGTAAGACTCTTTCCAAAATGGGCAGGGAGAAGGAAGGATATGTCTGCGTGTTGTATAATAAATTTTGGCTCATCAGTGGTGCCACACAAAGTTAAGTACAGTACATCCACCATCTTGATAATAAATTCAACAAATATTTTAAAAGACACACACCTCATTTCCAGAGAACCAAATTTCTGTATTCTTTAAATTCTTCATTCTCATACTACAAGATGGCCACATGCAGGATATTTAATTTCAATAGGCAGAATCTTTTGTGGTCCCATATCATTAAAATTTGGGGAAAATCCTGCATGTTTACCACATGACACTACCCAAAATTTGAAGAAAAAAAAACTAACCAGCAACTTGAAGTGTGCCCTCATTCATTCTCAGCACATCCTGAATGTGTCACTTTACGGAAACAATTTGGGAGGGGGCGGGGGAGATAAAAAAAGGAGCTCTTCTATATTTCTGTTACGTTACGCTGCACCAGACCGTGCCTTCACCTGCTTACTCATTCAGAAAATTACGGACATAATTGCAGAAGACCTAACACACTAAATGAAATTAAAATGCATACAATACCTCTATATGCAATTAATTATAGGGTCACATTTATCTGCGACTATTATCTGAAAAAGGATTTTATTTCACTTTCCGTTATAATTAAATGCCAAATTTTTTATGTCATTATATAAGCCTAAAAACAACTTTATATTGTTCTAAATATTTGGGCAGTCACGCAAACAAAACTATAGTTCAACAGAAACTGCCACTTTTACTTCACGACGTTGCTCCGCAAGTGAAAAATGTTCTGAAGGAAACAAATCTCATAAAACTTGCCACGGTTTTACACAGAAAATGACCATAACAGCGGCATGTGTAAAATTTACGTAAGTTCCATTAATGAGCTCAAGAAGAATGAGACAGATAGGATATGAAGCATGTATGGGGGAAATGAGAAATATTTAAAAAATTTTGGTCAGAAAATTTTGGAAAAGGAAAAAAAGGACCATTTTGGGTATATGGGTATAGCTGTGACAACATTAAAATTAATCTCACAGAAACACTGTGCGAACGTATGAATTACATTCAATTGGTTGAGGATATGGATCAATGGTGGGGGCATTTTTAAACATGTTAACGATCATCCAGATTTCATAAAAGCATAATGTCTGATCTGATCAAGATCACTGAATGGATTTGCAGCGTACAGTAAAAGTATATTATCAGCAACAGAATACATTTTTCTCTCAAACATACCGAGTTCTTTTTTTGTGCATGTTTTGGCATTCTATTTTTTATAGGAATCCTCTGCTTTAGCTTTCATGTAACATTTGACTTCGAGCTACATAGATGATCCATTCAATCAAACAGGAAGAATAGCCTTTATTTGTATATCCCATTTTGAATTAATCATTCCTTTGGAGTTTGCAGTGAACTCGGTCTTACAACACATAACATGTGTGGAATTAATCGATGTTCCAAGAAAGTATACCAATAATCTCATGTATACAAATTTTCCAAATTTGATTACTGCATAAAAACCACGTACAGAATCACCAGTAAACATTTTTAACAAATATGCACAAGTAAGAATAGGCTTTCTAATATAAATTTCAAATGAACACAACTTTCTATAACCATTTTCAAGGTACCATTACATCATATATATATATGTGGTTACTCTTATTTTTTTGATTTGACTGAAAAAAAATCCCACTACGTATTAAAAAAATCCCTTAATGTTAACATAAACTATGACGCAATACTTCATATATGATTATAAATATTAAACAATGAAAAAATATGGAGTCAGAAGTGGTGTAGTTCTACTGTAACTACAGATAAATAAAACAACAAGATTGACAAAGTATTCGGTACGGCAAGGACGCATTCTGTATGAAGTATTTGGCCATCACTGTACAATGTGAAGAAACACAAAATATACCCATCTCATTACCAGTACCAGAACATTTTGAAGCCTCTCAGTATTTACTGAAATGTAACAAAAGGCATAACATGGAAATCACGCTGTACATACATTTCCTATCTTGTTTTATGTTAAAATTGTTGATAGGGAAGACGAGAGGAAATAATATCCGCAAATAAGGTGATAAACACCTATGCTCACTCTGACTCCATACTTAATCAACATTTGCACTGTGAGAGAATTTTATTTTAGCAAATACAATGCTGTCAAACCTAAACCCTCATATAACTTCCAAATTCCACACTATTAAACATCTAATTCAGCAATTCACAATTTTTCCAATATAGAATGAAACCAATACAAATATCTTCTTGGTTCATTACCTTACATGAATTAAATATCCAGAAAGACCACAGATTTTACCAGCGCACAAACATGGTAAAAGAACTCTCTGATTAACATAAATCTTTATCAAATTACATTATTCCACAATCTAATTCAGCATATGTACATGACTATTAAATTACAGAATTTATCCCGCAGAAAAATAAAAATAAAGAAAACCAACATACAACCCATTCAGTCGGGAAACAGACATCAAAACAGTCTCTACCAAGAAGTTGCCTAACCAAACAAGAAGTCATACAAATTTGTAAACAGTATTAAAATCAATCACTCTGTTTCGATTCTACATCTACAGACTGGATCGTTCATTCAGACCGTAAAGGGATAAACCTTCATTCCCATCACACAATGCTCACTTTTTTTTATATACCAGAAATGACATATTACGATAAAAGAGTTCATAAAATTTGTGCTGATATCTACCCATTAGATTCTGTATATTTTACTGAACATCCGGTAAGATTTACGTCGACTACGTCAGAGCAGTAACTGCGAGTACAGAAACAGTAAAGGAGAAACTGTTCACAAGCGTGAACATTATTCACATACGACTTCTTTAATCATCACATTCACATTCACACATCAATATTCACATTTCAGAAATCTAGGCGGTATGACGTAGGAGCAACCATTTAAAATATTTCAAACATTTACAACGCTCATGACTCCTTCATGCTATATGACAATCTTCGTAACTTTCCCACTCACTTGCTCGGCCGTTATGACAGTAAAGAATGGATGCAAGAAGAATTGGAACATGTAAAGTGAAAGTGAATAAAATAAAGATTCCCATGCAAGAAGCACAGCGAAGCAGCCAAAAGAAATGCTACTATTGTCAGATATTTTATGTAAAAGGGCAGTGTTATCATTCCTAAGCCACCCGATTATCATACATATAGAACGGAATGAGTATCTGCTTCTGTAACATAACAAATGTCTGAACTGAAGCATCCATCATCTCCTGAGCTTCCAGCATGCTTCCACACACTCCCCTACCCATCATGCACAGTGTGTCCAACTCCCACACACAAGCTCGAGATCATCATATGGCAGCTGAACTATAACCATGGCTGAAAGAAGGGAACACATTTTTCTAAGTTTTACATACAGTAAGGAAGTACCTAGGTTACATTAATTACAGTACATAAATATCAGTCACATAAAACAATATTATTAAAATTATGTATAAATTATACTACCACTTAATTATATTTATCCACGACCTACACGTTTCAACATTACAGGGTCTTCCACAACATAATAATTTAAAATGTACATTCGTCACACATGAATTTATAATTAATCGGTAATGTACTCTGTACAAAACTTAATTTGTAATAATAATATGGTTTCTATGTCTGAGTGATATTTATGTATGCTAATGTAATTAACAGAATACATACATAGGAAACTATAATATAGGTTAGGTTAGGTTAGAATTTCAGTTGGTACTTTTCAATAAAACAGTAAATTTCTAGCAAGTAACATAATTGGTAGTACTGGACAGACAAAGTGCAGAGGAACAGACTGCCCTAGGGGCCCATGGAAGGAAGAAGGGAGGTGGAAGAGAGGGGATGCAAACCAAAAGCTTCTGTTTCCACAAAACTATTCTGTATAAGGTGAAATTTCAGGTTCTTGTGGCAGTGAGTACGAAGATGACTGTTTTCATATTCCGCAGAATGCACAACCTTATCTAAGTTCTTTACTAAATTTATATTACACCAAACAGAATTAGGAAATCACATTCAAGAATAAAAATGGTTGTCCCCCATTCGAGTACGTTCCATACACCTTCTTGCCGTCACAAGACACAAGCAAGTATAGCGATGTAACAAGCCGAACCCCTTGACTGCTTATAGGCTGTACCACTTGGCACAAAGTTTTATGAATGTAAATTGCGAAAGGGTTAATAAATGCCATTTTCACACACAAAACAAATGTTCATTATACTTTTAAAGTTTAAACAAGTTACAAGCACTCATCAGAAGAATCATTTTAGGATTCAGACGGTCAAAAGAAAAGCAACAGATTAAGATTTATAAAAATGTAACTAATTAATATGAATACTAAGTAGTACTCCGAAAAATTACATGACACATTCTTATTTCTTTCAATATTACAGTATAATATGGAATATATAAGTAAGAGAGAACGTAGTATATTATTAAATTATAAAAATATTATGCAAAATAAATAAACTATTGGAATATTAGGAATTTTAACTGCACAGGTACTTGGTCAATTATTCAGAGTCATTATGATTTTATTAACTGTTATTTACTGCTGTTACTTTCTGAGCACAATAATGGAGTCAAAAACTTCTGAAGCCAGCGTGTTAACCTCAATATCACGTCAATAAAAGTTCTGTCAAAGATTAAAAAGCGGAGAATGATTCAAAGCTTTAAATGTTAGCAGCATGATAATAATTCGATATTTTTAACATTCTGGAAGTTATACATAATTTGGTTAACAGAGAGAATTCACAGAATACGAACATTTTACAAGCCTCTTACAGACAGTGTTTGGAATCGAGAGATAGAGAAGATTAGGTACGTTACATATAAAATACATTCTGATGCACAGGTGCGGCCTGAGAGATATGTCAGCAGATTACCAGCAAAACTTGATATGACTTTTATAAGGAGTAAGAAGTGGCCACTTTACCCCTGGGGAAGGAACTGCAAGTACCCTCTGGATCGATGCTACGTGGGTCCCACACCATCTGAATTGATGGGTAATAATGGAATTCCCTTTAGAAATAATTGTAGAGATGGTAAATAAAGAAACAATCACAGAACTCAAGGACAATGTGGAGACAGCAAATGAAGGAAGAAACAGGAAAGTGGTAGAAGAAGCTGAAACAGCCTAGTGGAAATGCTGATGGATGCTGATATGACGTTAAAGAAATTTTTGCAATTTAAATGTTTAAAAACACTGGCTACAGTTAGGCCAATATAAAACAGAATGACCTAGACTTTCAATAATAAAACCACTATTTACGTACACATACCTCAGCCTTTGTAAAAAAATGCATTCCATTATGTAAGTTGCTGAAATTGTTCATTTGTGGAACGATTTATACCGAGTTGGAGGAAGGGGAGGCTGAGAGAGTGGACCAATGAAAGGTGAGAAATGAGATGGAAATTCCAGGTCAATATGGAGTCTCCAACCCAACATGGCATCACTATCACCTCAAAGAAAATATTCATTAGTAAATTGCAAACATTCATGAGGACGTGTTGCAACGAATATACACCAATCTGAAGCACTGTGCCCAGTTTTGAATGGACAGCAGGGGTGACCACTTTCAGAACTTTATGTGAAAGTATGCAGTTTCACAGGGAATGAGGTATGTATGTACAACCGATTCTAATCAATGAATTAAAAATGGTTTCATTAATGACAGTATAGTATAAAAAAGGGGGTATCTATTCATAACTTGAAGATTAAAATGTGGAATGCTGCCAAAATCAGTGTTTAAACAATTCATATAGGATTTCAACTAGCACACACAGTACAGAATTTAAAAGCATATATAAGACTTTTAAACCAATTGATAAAGACACATTAGAGCCTGGATATGAGAGACAACATCAGTAAAGTGAACTCCCATTCATTTTACTAAAAATTAATTCAAATAATTTCTCGACTTTTGTGAAGATAACAACTCTGAACTACAACAAAAAAGTATAATTTTGTAAATGTATGGTCCATCCTTTTATAGCTTAGTTTGCTGGCTATTTAATAGCAATGTATCAACTGCATATGATGAAGACTGTTTTGAGTATACTAAACTATACACAGAATAAATGGCGGACGACAAACATCTGATGAACACACGGACTTCACTCTTAAGCAAGAAATATCAGATAAGGTAATATGATTTGAGGTTTTCATCACAACACTGATTAACACTTTCATAGTCAGTGTTTTTTTACTGCTTACACTCCCCTGCCAGGCTTCTGCAGCATATTGCAATAATTATTACTTCAAAAGTATATGGAATTTTAACAGTATTTTTTTCTTCCATCTACTTAACACAAAACAATTACAGATTCATATAAAAATAGTAGCTTTCAAGCGCACAATATAACTGGAAACAGAGAACGGCACACAGCACAACCTTTGAGCTGTGAAAATCATGATGTTTTCTTTACACAACAAGTGCCATCTGTTAATGAAAGCTTCAAACTTGTAATATGAAATGTAGACAAAGGATGATGCAATCTACAGCTGTTATTGTCTTTCCAATATGTACCACAGCAGGAGAGGCTTGATAATCTATCAATCGAACCAACGGCCATCCGCATCATAATGTGAGATGCAGGCCAAATCACATGTAGACATCTGCATTAAGACTGTGAAAAGTTGGGCACTTCTGTAGAACCTTGTGCCTCCATCTTCCGGTTCTTTTTTAATTCTACTTTCAATACAGAGGTAGTCGGTCCCTCGAGTTCGTTCCAACATGACATGGTGTTATAACTTTAAACATCTGACAATACATAAATAATATCTGAATTTGTTTCATGGTATACTGTCATTCTGTATCAATTTATACACACTGTATCATTTACTTAACTCTTTTGCTGCAGAGCTCATAACGTGAGGCATGCTAGCAGCGAGTTTCTACTGAACTCATATTACGATCAGTTCAGACTCTTTTTTTTTTCCTTGCACGAGTAGGACATGTTGACAACACATAGAAGATCTTGTATATATTAAACATAACGTTTCCCACAAGACGTTGCAAGATATATCATAATTTTCAAGTATACCAATTTGTGGGTAGCATTATGACAGCCATGACTTCTTTTAGATGTAAACAGACTGCAGATTCCAATTCTCAGGGTGAATGGAAGGACAGTAAGTGGTCCAAAGAAAGAAAATAATAAATTAAATTTTAAAAAAAGTGTAAAATTTATTTACACAGGCACAGCATTTATTAATAACAAAAAAATCATGCAGCAAAAGAGTTAAATCCCAATACTCAAAGAAGTTTTATGTAAATCTGGAACACGATTTCATTGCCATTCTTGAGGGTCTGTGACGAATAGAAGAACAAACATAAGCAAGCCACACCCACACACAGAAAGCACCAATTCTGCAATTAACATTCATTCACCATGTGATATGCTGTATAGAAATTAATTTACTACACAATAATCCTTGTCAAATTCCCCTCCCCCCCCCCAAATTGGACTGATTCTGTCTCCCAACTCATGTAAAAGAATCAAACATCACCCAAGGTGGCACTCAGATACAATGATTACACTACTTGCCTGTGTTACAAAAAAGTTATGATCTTCATTCTAATCACTCCCTGCATGTGAGCAATGTCTTCTGGTTGGTCCAGCACAGCTGATAAATGACTATATACCCTGATACCCAAGCTAATCACAGAGGTAACAGAAAGAAAAAAACACAAGCGGCTAAGGAAATGCCAATCGGGATAAAATCAGCCCATAGATGCATCAGTCCTATTTCCAACTAGGGTGACTTTTTTAACCAATAAGAACGTAAAAGGACAGGTGATATTAACCGAACACGACCAATCAAAGCTTAACACTATCCAACAAAGATTACCTTCTGAAAAACAAAACCTATCAACCTTCCCACTTAGTGGACAACAAGATGGCTCAAAACAAAACGGTAACAGGAAATGCATTTTATGGCCACAGTCCATCAAATACACATAACAGTGCCTCTCGTCAACCCTGCATGTACTAATAAGACCTGATGAATCCAGACTAGGATGCAGAGTATGCCTCAGATGTACTAGCATACAGAATAATGCCGCTATGCTTCACCAAGTAGCACCGTCGAGAGACACACCATCTCCCTCCGGAAGTACATCGGTAATCAAAATGCAGGTGTTTGGGTACAGATTTAGGCCACAGTAGAACCTATTATATTGAATTTTTGAACACTTTTCGGTTGGCTGGTTACTACATCGAATGAAGGCTTCATTCAACGGTCTCGTCCGTTTCTTATCTTCGTCATCTACGTTGCAGCGCGTTGATTATGTATACTCCATCAGCTGTATTTGGTGATTTAAGTTAAAAAAAAATATTTAAAAAAAAAATTAACGAACAGATTGAAGCTCCACATAACACAACCCCACAGTCAAATATAATGTCTTCTTCAAATTGTCACATCTACACTCAAACCTACGCCTGCAGAGAGAATCAACAACACAATTAGTCTGCTGAATAGTGACGTTCCAAGAAAAGGGCATTCAATTCACGTGCTATTTCCCCACGAAAGCAACTACTGTGTAGATCAGGGTATACCTGTAATATTCACATTAACTCGGATTATACTTCCTTAACCTTTAAAGCTGAAGCTCACTTAATAATTTAAGTATTCAGTCCATACTGTAATGAAAAAAACAACGCTTATCCACATATAAAGCTTTAAAGCTGAAGCTCACTTAATAATTAAGTATTCAGTCCATACTGTAAAGAAAAAAACAACGCTTCTCCACATATAAAGATCAACAAGTTAATGCTGTTTAAGGAAATAATCCCTGTTTACAGGGATTATCATACAAAACCCATAAATACAGAAAAGAGTTAATAATGAAGCAAAGAATTACAGATTCATATATTAGCTTGGCGTGTTGTGATTGAAGAAATAATTCAATCACATCTTTCCCCATTGACAAGTTACAGTCTCATGGAACTTCACTGCTACATGGTAAAACGTAAGCGGCATATAACAAACACTTTTTTCCAAAAAAAAACTGATACTCACTATACATGAGGTAGTCCTTGAACCTCCATCATTTCTTCTTGGCAACTGGAACTATCAAGCGTAGACCCTAAATTGTGGCCACCAAAAGTAAAGCCAGTAGCAGGTGACAGGTGATGCCGCGGACTAAACGTATAGCGCAGGGTAGTGGCAGGTGTGGGATAGGCTGATTTTCGTGGAGAGCGAGCTTTCACTATACGTGGAGGTTTGTACATTTCCTCCAAAACTGATGGAGCCACGTATGTGAACCCCTAAAACAAGACAGTTAATAATAGTGTAACTGCGGCAGAACAAACTGAACCGTACTCGACTGTTCGGAATAAAATTTGCGCCTTAAACCTTACCTGGAACACAAGATTTGCACTCTCACTGAGAGTTGATTCATCAGGAGAGTCTATAGGAGTTTGCTTTGTGAATTTGGTATCAAACTGTGATACATCGTCCTCTCCTGCCTGTAAAATAAGACAGAACACATTTTTATGTTTCTGTCACATTTAATCACACAAAAAAATGTTACAAACAAGTCATATATCAAAATGAGATGTATAGTACAAACAAGTCATATATCAAAATGAGACATATAATTCATTTCATGGACTCACTTTGTGTACAGCGAACCACGATCCATTTTTCAAAAGAACTGAAAAGGTCGGCGAACACTAAAGCTCACGACTGAGCGTTACACATAGGTTCAATATAAAATTTCATAAAAATCTGTTAAACCAGGTTTGGACACCAAACAATGCCTCTCCAAACATGTGCAGTCAACGTTAACACTTCGTAAAAATTATATTACTGTACGTACCAATGAAGGCTTGAATGGTGGCTCTAATTTTCTACCTAAGACATCAGCCCAGTTCATCTGCTTGAAGAAAGGATGAACTTTGATAGCTTCTCCATTACTAGGACCTGAACCTAACCTCTGGACCACTTGCCTCTGAAACATAGTATTCCTCATTTCAATATGTGTTTATTTAACCCACTGGCTCAAAGAGCCTGCAATTTCCCGGCAGCTTTCAGCTAGCCGTTAAGTCGTGGGCAATTCACCAGTGTTTGAAAAACGAAACAATATTTTTTAATTTTGTCCTGTTTGTTACTGGGTGGGCCACAGCAAACTTTCTAACCATGGATTATTTTTACCAGAACAAGAATAGTACAACGGGAGTAAGATGAGGCAAAACAAACAGAAAAAGATACACACTTTTAGCAGCTTGCGTATGAGATCACGAGCATCTGGTGTGAGATACGGTGGCAAATTCAACCTTCCTTTCAGTATCTTCTCTATTGTCTTCTTTCGGTTATCTGCTGTGAATGGCGGCTGCAACAAATATATTGAGAAGTCAGCTGTCAGATATCACGGCACGGCATATTTGGATACGGCAAAACACCAAATTTATTTTAACAGAAAATGTTTATTTTTGTAGCTGACAAAATGGTTGAATGCACTGGACACTACCTTGGTCTACATAAAACCACAAAGAGAATACAAAACTCTTCTTTCAGCTGAAAACACATCCAGATACTTACAGCACCCGTCAGCATGTCGTACATAAGGGCACCCAGTGACCACCAATCCACAGCCTTGCCATGCCCACTACGAGTCAGGATCTCTGGGGCCCTACAATCAACATTAAAGGATCTTACAGTGCTTAATAATAATGGAGATGGTAAGTTGACTAGCGACAAATAAGGAATGCAACAAGCACACTGAAATCCCTGTCTAAGGTTCCCTTGGGAAGCAATGAGTTTTAATACTAAACTGAGGAATGAGCCGGGATAGCTCAGTCAGTATAGTGACTAGCTACGGGCTGGATGACCTGGGTTCGATCCCTGACAGGGGCAGAGGATTTTTCCTCTAGCCTCTGCGTCCAGACCGGCTCTGGGGCCCACCCAGCCTCCTCTACAATGGGTACCGC